ATAAGTATTCAATTATAAGTATCAGTTTAATTATTATAACCTTAGAAAATTGCTTTATTAGTTTAGCTAAAGAAGTTTCTTGAAATTTACATACTTGATGAATCATATAGACACATAGAACTTATACAAAATAGCAATAGAAAGGTTTCTTGCAATGGAAAAAGGACAATTGATTGATTAATCATATTAGTATAATAGGATAATATTAATAAGTTCAAACTGTCATGTGTGAAAATGTAAACATATATAGAGCAATATTTTCTTTTGAATAAAGATTGTTAACACCTGGGTAAATCTAACAGTGAGTTTAGATTGTGTTATCCGAAGTATTGTGTTTTTGTATGATTTGTTTGTTAGTTTTTTTCTTTGTAGTAAACTTTTCGCGTGTTTTATTTGTTTTACCTTTGTGTTTGTCATTACTTGTTTGATAGATTTCTATCTTTAAGAAACTCTTACATTGTTTACCATCATCATTATTAATTTTCTACTGAGAATTATTAGTGATACTCTTATATTTTGTTACAATATTATCAAAACACTTATCATTTTATTACTTGGCCTTTTTGTCACGACTGTTTAATTTAACATCTCTGACGTTAGTTATCACTCCAGACCAAATCGGTGATAACAATAGCGATTAATATTTTTTGTAAAAAATATTCATTCGCGCAATGAAGATAAAGAATTATTTTTAGAGAATTTTTTTTCCGGGATATTATCACTTTAACATTCAAGTAACTAAGTAACTTTATTTTCCTGAAACATTTATTCACGAGAAAGTAAGTAAAAAAAGATTAATGTATTATAACAACGAGATAAATTTGATAAAAATCAGCTAATTCGAAAATTTTTTCTAGAAAACATTTTCTCGACAATCAAAATCTCGACAATCCAAAATCCCCGACAAGTCATTGTCCGAAAGCTGAGTGGAGGACTTTGTCTATCCCACACGTGACTTATATACACGTGACAATCGTGACATAATCTTTTATACTATAATTAAACTTTTGTTTAACCTTCATAAGATGTATATAATAAATTAGTTGTTTTTAAATCATTTCTTCAGATTCATTAATAATAAACGAAAAAATATAATAAATGAAAATATATAACTTATATCTTATGTAATTTATTTTCGTTATTAAAATCTTAAAATAATAATTAAAAATATAAAATGGATAGCCAGCCTGTATTTATTCACCCTGAAACACTTAGAAAACGCAAAATTAGAGAAAATGATACTCATAATCAACGTGAAAGACGTTGTGCTCGTGTGCTCGTGATGTTTATAAATCGTTGCAAAATATAACACCAATAAGATTTCACTTTGGAAAACGTGCAGCGTGACGTCCGCTTCGGACGTTTAACGGTCACCGTTACCTAGTTATATCGTTCAAATGATTTTCGAGATTTTGTACCAAAACCTAAAAAAATAGTTACAATAAAATAATTTGTTGCAATATGTAATATTTAGTTTAAATGTGGTAAATTTTATAATTTGTTCTAAAATTGCCGGGATAATCAACTTGTCGGTATAATGATTTGTTGGGATTTTGACTTATCGATCGGGATTTTGGATTGTCGAGATTTTGTTGTCGGTCTTGTGTCAGTCGTTCAAATGATTTTCGAGATTTCGTACCAAAACCAATTTAAGTAGACATTGCGTGAATGTCAAGCTATTTTCGGATATTATCAATATAAATATTAATTGTAATGACAATTGTTAATGACATATCTCACCGACATACGGTGGTTTTTCTCTTTTTTAATGTTGTCCTAATTTAAGCCCTATAAAAAATTTTATCCGTTATTTCTGTAACAACTCCGTAAAAATGAGCCTTTCACGGATCCATCCATTAATTCCGAGAATATGAGCCTTTTACGGTAAAAGATGGAATATAAAAAACTTTTTACAGGACAGTACATAACCACAAAATTTTTTTATTAACGTCATTTTTATTATTTTTAGCTGTCTAAATAATTTATTTTCTTTAAAGATCGGCAAGATGAGCATTTATTATTTTATTTCTTTAAAATGAATTGTCAGTAAAATAACTGTCGATGAAACATTTGTCGATAAAGTAATCGTTGATGATCTGACCTTGCCCCTTACTGTGTCCATTTTCATAAACATTCATCAATTAAAGTCATTTAATATTAGGGGCAATTTACTAAAAGTAAGGACATTTTGTTAATCACGTGATTGTAAAAAGGTGTTTTTCCTCACAAGAAATATTATATCATTGCTTTGCGCTTTTCAAATCATTTTTTAAAACTCGTGATTACTTTTGAGTTGTGATTATTCTAAATTATTTTGTAAAAAAAGGGTTGAATTTGAAATTTCCCATTATTTAGGTAAGTTTGCTATTGAAGTTTGTGTAACAAAAATGTTTCCAATTTACCTAAATAATGAGAAATACCTTCTTTATAGAATAATCACAAGTAATCACGAATTTTAAAAAATCATTTTTTCATGATGATTTATAAATTCAAAAAGGTAGATGCTCGGATATTTTATCCAATAATTCGCTTCATTTAATTTCGGATAAGCAGAAATCCAGCATGAAAATTTCGTAATAAAAAGAAAAAAAATCAATTTTGAAAAATTAAAGCTTGGCAAAATTTAATTATAAAACGGGGTCTCTATGATTTTTCCAAGACTATTAATTCTTTCCGTACAATCAATTTAATAACAATTCATCTCCATAATAATTGCACATTTACTAACTATGAATCCGAGACATTTAATTTCATTTATTTATCTCACTCTTCTCATGTTTTGCATTATACACTTTAAAACAGCTCGAGCTTTAACTCTCCCTGCTGATGATCGTTGTAACATAAGCTGTCCAGCCCCAAGACAATGTTGTTGTTGGGGAACTAAACCCACTTGCTATTGTCTCGATATTTGTGATTGATTAATCAATTTTGATTAATTTATTTATTCTTCTTAAAAAATCATGCCATGAATATATATTATCATTATTATTTCTTCTCCTATTTATTAATGTCATCTTACTATTTGTTAATGACAATATTTCTTCTTACTATTTAATAAAATCATTAATTTCTTCTTCCTATTTATTAATGACAATATTTCTTCTTCCTATTTATTAGTGTCATTATTTCTTTTAAAAATGGTCGAATTTTTTTAATAATCTTGGCTTGTAGTTAAAACGTATAATTTATATAAGCAAGCATCTTTCTATTATAATGATTACTAATTTTGAGGCTTAAATTGATGAAATTTGTTCAAATTAATATCAATAAAGAATCCTTTTGCACATACTTTGACGTCTTATTTTTTAATTATGCTGTTTTTTGTTTTTTTTTTTGGAAATATGAATTGTTTTTTATTTTCGAAAATTTTTAATAATAACTGGAGTCATTACATCTCTAGGTAAATCTCCCGAAATCCCGACATAACCTTCATACTCAAAATATCTTTTGACTGATTTATGGTAACCTGATTTATTACAATCTTATGCTAATATGCCAACTACAAACATCGAATTAGTTCTTTTAACTGATCTATAAAATTAAATGATTTTTTTAATATTTATCCAAAATTCTCTTTCAATACAATTTATTTTCTAAACCAATTATTTTTAATTTTTTAATCCTAGTTTACCTTGTTGGATTAAATATGCTTATTCTCACGGTTGCACGATTTCCCGACATTGTTGGTGGGTTAAAGATAACAAATGAATACTCTTATGTTAAATATTAGTATTATTATTATCTTACTCTTATATAATTTATAATTGATTTATTCGTAAATATTGCTTCACAAATTTAGAATTTAATAAAAATTTTATTATTGCAATTGTTTATTATTATTATACTGATTTTATCAACATAATAAATTTTGTTTATCCATTTATTTTCAAATTAGAACATTTTGTGATTTGATTCATAATTTTTTTAATAAATAATTTTTTGTTAGCCAAGATAAGATAATAAAGGCGTGATAACATATGAACAGATATAGTTCTGTAACTATTTTTATTATTTAAACTCCTTTAAAAAAAATTTTCTTTTAATTTGAAATTTATCCTTCTTTTTGCTTTTACAAAATAATTTCTTCTGTCAGTATTAAATGTCGGACATTTCATTTAGAATATAAGAAACGTCCGGATAATTAAGAAAAATTATTACTGAGGTAAATAAAAAATAATCTTGTTTATGACATATTTAAGCTTCATTTGAGAACGTCTTACTTATTTGTTAATTTTATACAGACACCACATATCTTCTTATCTCTTAAAGAATCAAAAAACTTTTCAATTACAAGAGAGGGAATTATGCTTTATAAATGATACATAATTTTTATATCGCTGGATTGAACGACATGAACGAAAGAATCATTTATTCTAACTTCACCATGATGGTATTGTTGCAATTCTGATGCTGCAAGAAAATATAATACTGATAGAACAAGATATACAATTTATAATTATTGATCTTATGCATACCAATTTTTTATATTAAAATCTAAGCAAATAGTACAATTTTTTTGCTTATAGTAAAAAAAAACTACATCCCAATCTTAAAAATTTACAAGAGATACATAATCAAGGAGTTAATGCTGGTACTCATTAATTTAATGATCACAGATAGCAATATAAAAATAACATATTACTTTTAAATATAACATGAAGTTTACATATTGACAAATCAATGATGATAATGACGATACACTCACAATTTATAACCAAAGACTTGACAGACACTCATCTAAAATTATCTGGAAATGTAGCCTGGTCTGAAATTACTTACGCAATACCATATGGTATGTCGCTAAAAATTTTATTATATTTATAGTATTATTTATCGTATAAATTCAACCTTTTATTATTTTTTTCATGTAGCAACGAAAAAAATTTATAATAATGACATAAAAAAGTATTGATTAAAAAATAAATGTTTTAAATATTTATATAATATGAATAACATAAATTACACAATAAAAAAAATAATACATTTATTGGGAGATGGTCATCTTTATTATATACAAACTGTTATATTAATTATAATATCCAATTTGCATTAATTTATATTTTGCACGTCTTATTCCATTATCTGAAGCTTTTTTATACCAATAACGTGCATCTATCATACTGATACTAGTTCCTATCCCATAATTATAACATTCGCCTAAGTGATATTGTCCAAAATGGCATCCATTATTTGCTGATTTAGAATACCATTCAAATGCTTTAGCATAGTTTTTTTCCGTTCCAACTCCTCTTCTATAACAATAACCTAAATGATTCTGACCTTCAGCACATCCATTAATAGCTGATTTATAATACCATTCAAACGCTTTAACATGATTTTGTTGTATTCCTTCTCCATAATAATAACATTCTCCTAAGTTATTTTGAGCTTTAATGTTTCCTTCATCAGCTGCTTTGGAATATAATTCAAATGCTTTGTAATAATTTTTTTTTACTCCTTTTCCATAATGGTAACATTCTCCTAAATTACTTTTACCTAAGGCATATCCATTATTTGCTGATTTAGAATACCATTTATATGCTCTAAGATAATCTTGTGTTGTTCCTATTCCATGATAATGACATTCTCCTAATTTATTTTGACCTTCAGCACATTCATTATTAGCTGATATTGAATACCATTCAAACGCTTCTTTATAATCCTTTGTTACTCCTTGACCATATTGATAACAATAACCTAAATTATATTGAGCCATTGGAACACCTTTTATAGCAAATTCCAAATATTTATTTAAATTATTTTGAAGTATTTTATCTAAAATAATATCTTTATAATAAAATAATGATAATAAATATTTTCCAATTATAATATTAATATTTTGTAATATATCAAATAATTCATAATCTTTTTCTTCTTCAATTTTAATATTTAATAAATATAATTCTAATGCTTTATTTTTATCCATATTACAACCAATACCATATTGATAAAAAAATCCGATAATATTAGAAAACCAAATTTTATTTTTTTCATGATTTCTCATTAATTTTAAAATTTCATTTGAATTCTTATTATTATTTATCCATTCTTTTAAATTATTTTCTAAAGTTTTAATTGTATTATAATCATTTATATAAATGATTTTTTTATAAAAATCTTTTGAAAATTTCTTTAAGAATTTTTCATCAATAACAATATCAATAATTTCTATAGTTTCATTAATTTCGTTAGTTTCCGTAATTAAAAATTCATTAATAGACTTGATAATTTTGTCATTTGAAAAATTCGAAAGAAAATTTGACATTATTTTGACAAAAAAAAAAAAAATAAATAAATAAAATATATCAATGAATTTTATTTTGTAAAATTGCTGGATTGGCGTTTCTTTATATTTGGGAAAATGGAAAAAGTATATCACTATGGATTTCTATATTAAGTAATGCCATCCTAATTCTGACCATGGGTTAGGGGAAGTGCCAGAAATTACGTCATTTAGAGGGTTTGAGACCCTTGTCATTATCTATTTTATCTATTTTAGGAAATCAAAAATTATAATGTAATTTTGGCCGGAATTAAATATGTTCTTAATTACTAAAAATGGGGATTCGTCTAAAGCGGGAAAATCACGTGATTTGGTATAACTAATTTTTTTATAAATTAAGATTTGAAAATCATAAAATAAGCATATCTTAGTCTGCTCTACAAGTTTACTTTAGGAAAAAAAGTAGAAAAAAGAATACTGTTTTTGACTTTACATATGAGCAAACAGATTTTGACAAAATGGACAAATAAATTTTTAATAAAAATGAAAGTCAAATAAGTAAAAAACGGCATTCATAATCTCAGTTATACTCTAATTAAACTTGCAGAACAGGCTTAAATGCATCTAATGTATGTTTTGAATAGGTTATATATGTATGGGGAAAATTTTTTTTCGAAAAAAACAATTTTGTCCTAAGTCACGTGATTTAACTCCGCTTTAATTTTTAGACATTTGTAGTTAATATAATTCTGGCCAGAAATTATGTTGTGCTGCGGCTGGATTCTGCGGTTAACTGCGCCCAATACTGTAACACGTTTGTATTTATTGTTTGACATATGGAATTATTAATAAAGATAATTCTTATTTATGTATATATTTCTGGTAAGAAATTAAGAAAACTTATCATATAGAAATGCTCGATATGGATAATTGTTATTAAAGCATGAAAGTATGAAACCGAATTTTCTTAATTAGATTATAATTAACCGAACATCAAGCACGAAATAATTAAACCCAATAAATATTCGAAATAATAACTCGTTTCAGATATTGTATATATTGGGATATCAAAAAAAAAATAATAATAATAATTCTAAGCCATCCATCCAAATTACGTATGATGAGAAAATTTGATTCTTAATTTTTAGAATTAAGGGCGTGGAAGAACTGCGCCACAAAATACTTGATATGTAAAACAAAATAAATTGATTTTACCGTATATATTAAAATAATGTGAAAATGTACATTATAACATTATATTAATTTTTTATATATAAAAGATTTGATAAAGATACGTAACTTAAATTAATTTATTTACGTAAACACATAAATATGAGAAATCAATAAATTATGTGTAACTGGACCGGTTCTCAGACAACCGGTTTAGATTTTCACACTTTGATTGGTAACCGGGAATAATTGGAACAGAATCTTTATTTTGCTTTTTATAATTGTATTTTATGGATTTTTAAAAAGGTGCCACAAAATACATGATAATTAATAATTATAAAACGCAACTAAATTGATTTAATGTACATATTAATTATGTGAATAAAGGAGAATTTAGATATAATAATACAGTCAACTCCCTAAAAATGCACCCCCTTGGGACCATATACATAATTTTTGTAATAGTGCATTTAGAGAGAGTAAATAATTAGAGATCGTATTGCATTTAGGGAGGGTATACATAATAGGTGCATTTATAAAGGAAGCATTTATGGAGAGTTTATTGTAACTATAAAAATACTGAATAAATAGAAGTATGAGAAAATTGATTGTAACCGGACATCAGTTCTAGACAACCGATTTAAATTATTACACAAGTTGAAACAATCGAAACATTTTAGTGTTCGAATCTTTTATAATTGGATTTATGGACTATTAAACAATTTCATTTTAACCAGTGTCACAATATATATGATTTACTATATGTAATAAAAGAATTTGAATTTGATAAAGATACGTGGCTTAAATTAATTTTATTTATGTAAATAAATGAATAAATAGAAGTATGAGAAATCATATAAAATTGATTATAACCGGACAACCGATTTAAATTATTACACAAGTTGATTGATAATTGGCTTGGAATAATCGAAACATTTTGGTGTTCGAATCTTTATTTAAACTAACCAGTACCACACAATATATTTATAAAAACACAATTAAATTGATTTACTGTACATGTATTAAGATATGTGGCTTAAAATAATTTTCTTTATGTAAACAAATGAATAAATAACAAAAGTATGAGAAAAACTATAAAACCAGTTCTCAGACAACCGGTTTAAATTATTACACATGTTGATTAATAATTTGGAATAAAATTTGTTCGAATCTTTTTATTATCGGATTTATGAATTTTTTTAACCAATCATCATCATATCACATGAACTTATTGATGATCACGTATTAATAACGCGTAATAACTTATAAGAAATTATTCGTTTTAAATATATATAAAATGAATTTATAAAGTAAACCCCAAAATTCTGAGTATGATTAATTTTATTGATATTACAAAGTTGGAAATCATATGCAAAAGATATGAAAACCTGATTCAAGAAATGAAAAAAAAACAATTATTTTAGGATATCCATTACTTGAATAAGAAAAATAATTACAAAGTACAAATACCAACCAGTGTCAAACCTGTAAGAATTCTCTTGGAAATAAAGAATTTTTTTTATACATATATATATATATATATATATATATAACAATCAAATATTTTATATATAATATAAANTAATTAAGTAATTTAGTAAATACTATAACACTACATGTCATCTTTTTCCTGTTAACTAAAATAATAAATTTTCAATGACATAATATATATATATAATATATATATATATATATATAACAATCAAATATTTTATATATAATATAAAAAAAAAAAATTCTTTTTGAATCGAAATGATTTTATGATTTACATGTGATATAAAAGCATCATTGTATTAGAAGATGATATGAAACAAGAAACAAGTTGAATAAACCTAACCTGGTTAAAAAATTTTAATAATACGACCGTTTTATATTCGATCAAATTTAAGGCTGGACTTTTTGTGTAACATTTTATGGGAGATCAACCTATAAAAATAAGGAAACTGCGTATTGTACGATCTGCCGAAATTTTTAATTGTTAAGTACGAAACGTATTACAAGGATTAAAAAATTATAAATTATCCGGAAACCTTTGACAATATATCCAAAAGTTGTTCTTTGTTTATCAAGGCACAAGTAATAAGGGTAAATCGCGTTAAGGCATGCTAAATTCATTATATTTTATTGGATAACATTCGGGTTCCATGAAACAAAATTCAAAAATTTCCGGATCAGAATCAATTAACATATAAAGGACAATGCAGAAAAAAGTTTATATATTATAAAATCGTGATCATTTCTCAAACACTGATTCGTTTAACTTTGAGAAAATAATTTTATTTAATTTAACTTTTTATAGATTAATATGAACATATGTTTTAAACTGTAAATATACTTTTTAATAAACTTTTTTCTTTTTAAACTTAAAAAAAACTTTTATCATTTAGTTGGATTTATTCGTTATTTTATAAATAAACTTATTATTTATAAAGTTCTGAATAATTTATTTTATCAATGGGATTAAAAAGGTTTTTATTGTTACATAAAAAAAACAAATTTGGAATCATAAATTAGATATTGCCTTTTTTTTATTTAACTGGTTCCAGAATTTTTTTTTTTTTTTTTTGTACAGTAACTTTCAGAAGTTTCCTAATCTGATTTGCTATAGTACTTTACGCACTCACAAATAAGATATTTTTTTTTCAAAATGAAGAATTTTCCAACGGAGGTTGTACAAAGAATCGTATCTAATCTTCAAGATGTTAAAAATCCACATTATTTATTTTCAACCTTGATGGTTAATAAAGAATGGTGTAAAGTATCAGTACCATATTTATGGGAATTAACATTAGATTATATACCGGATAAATATAATTCATATAAATGTATTATAACATATTTATCAAATGCTGAAGAAAGTTCAAGAAATTTTTTGAGAAATCATGGAATGGATTTATTAACATCACCACCTTGGTCAACTTTTAATTATCCAACATATTTAACATCAATAAATTATCATCATTTAGCAATATTAATTCAATCATATTTATCAAAAACAAATGATGATAATAATGATGATTTTATATCAGCAAAAGAAAGATTAATATTTCAAGAATTATTTAAATTATTTATGAAAAAAAGTAAATATATTAAAAAAATTACAATACCTGATACAATTAATTTAGATGGAATTATGGAAGATATACCTTTTATTACTCGTTATAATGGTGCAAGTAAATGTTTAAGAGGATTAAAAGAATTTTATTGTTATTGGAATTTTAATGGAAGTTTTTATAAATCAATACTTAATATTTGTAAAAATATTCAAATAATTAAAATTTATATTGATGCTTATTATGATGTGGAATATTTATCAAAATTAATTTCTATACAATCAAATTTAAAACAATTAAAAATTGAAGTACAAGAAATAACTGTTGGAAGTAGTATTATAATAAATGATTATTGTACTCCTATATTTAATTCTATATTAGATCAAAAAAATTCCATACAAAAATTAGAATTAATTAATTTTTCTTTTCAATTTGCTGATAAAGAAATTTTTGAAAAATTAATTAATTGTAAATATTTAAGATTTTTATCAATTTATAAATGTAAATTCTTGGAATCTCTTAATTTTTCTTCTTTAAATGGTATTCCTAGTTTAGAAGAATTTTATTATTGTCATAAGATTGATGATTATTTTCCTGAAAATTTAATTATAAGTTTATTTCATTCAAATTTAAGAAAAATTAAATTATCTTTTCATACAATGAATATTATAGAAGCTATTATTATTAATTGTCCAAATTTAGAAATTTTAAAATTATCAACTTCTTTAAATCGAAAGAATATTTTAGATATTTTCTCTTCTTGTAATCAATTAAAATATTTTTCTTTTAAAGGTAATCATGGTGGTAATAATGAAAATAATTTATTAATTCAAATGAGTAAATTTGTTCCTTTAACTTTGGAAATATTAGAAATTCAAATGTGTTTACAACATCCTTGGATTTTTTCTGCTGATTCCTTGAAATTTTTCTTAAAAGCTTCTAAAAATTTAAAATTATTAAAAATTATTCATAAAGAACCTCAACAAACATTAGATCAACAATTTTCTAATCCTTTAACTCCGGAAAATTCTACCATGAAAACTTTATCAAGAGAACATTTTGATGTTATTAAAGAATCTGGTATTGGTCTTTATATGACAAGTGGAATCAAATTTAGTAAAAAATTATATCCAAATTACGTTCATACTATAGAAATTCCCAGAAAGATTTAAATAGTAGTTAAATTAACGTTAGATTTTAACGTAGGCAGAATTTTAGATTTATATTGTATATATTGAAAAATTTTATTTTTTTTTTTTATTATATATTAAAGTTTCAGTTTATTAATTCCAAAAAACTTTTAAATTTTTTTTTTTTTTTTTTTTATAAATAAAATCCGTAATTTTATATCATAATTTAAAAATATGGGAGCATCGTAATAAATTTAATATGGGAGTATCGTAATAATATTAACGTAATACAATAGATGTGATCTAACATACGTCATTAAATTGAGATTTTTTTTTAAAACCCGTCCCCGTTGTTTATGTTTCTAATCTTTTCACATTTACTTTTGTTTTTACTTTTTTCTTTTTACTTTTATTTTACTTTTATTTTTCTTTTACTTCTCTTTTACTTCTCTTTTACTTCTCTTTTACTTCTCTTTTACTTCTCTTTTACTTCTCTTTACTTTTCTTTTTACTTTTCTTTTACTTTTCTTTTACTTTTTCTTTTACTTCCTTCATAATGAACTCTTACCCTTCATCAAATACTTTTTTATGGGAACTTGGTAGTTTTCAACATTATGTTAAAACAATTTCAAATCAAAATAGAATTCATTCTCCAAAATTTTGGTTACCAACTTTTATAAAATCAAATGATAATACATGTGTTAATTGTGGTAATACTTATAATACGGATATTAATCCAAATAATCTTCAAAATAATATCGTTCAAACTGATACAAATACGTTATTAACATATAATTTTTGGCAATTTCGTATGTATCCAAATGGAAATGTTGGTCATGAAAATTATATATCAATCTTTTTAAAAGCAATTTTAACTCCTTATGAAAAAATAAATAATATAAATTCAAGACAACAAAAATTTTTATTGGAATTAGGAAAATTAGGTCCTACAACTATAATAAATAATAATGATTTAATTCATGTTCCAACTAGAAAACAAATTATTAAACAACAAATTTTTGAATTCACTTCGGATTTTAGTAAAGATAATGTTACTTGTGGATTTCCAAAATTTTGTTCCTTGGAATTATTATTTCCTGATATTAATGATAAATCAAAAGAAATTGATTTATTTATACAAGTAACTGTATTAGGTGATGATTTATCTCGTTCAAATTTATTATTATTATTGGATGATGATTCTATTAATCAACAACAACAAAATCAAGATGTAGAAGAAATTAATAATGATTTTGATAGTTCTTCTGGTGATATTGTAGAATATTTTTTTAATGAATCATTTGCTGATGTAGAATTCTTATTTGATTGTGGTACTACTTTAAAAGCTCATCGAATCATTTTGGCTACTAGATGTAATTATTTTAAAATGATGTTTCAAGGTGGATTTAAAGAATCAAATCTCGATAAGGTTCCAATACGTTATGTAAGCTATGATGTATTTTATGTTATATTACAATATATTTATACGGGAAAATTAATGGATTTAAAAGAAGAAAATGCTTATTCAATATTGAGAGATTCATATAAACATTCGGATTTGATGGCTTTAACTTCTTTAAAAAGATTGATTGCAAAAAGTGTTGTTAAATTGATTAATAATGATAATTGGAATGAAATATTAATCTTGGGTTGGCAATATAATGATCTTTTATTGAGAACTAAAGGATTGAAATATGTTAAAGAACATTGGGATACTATTAAATATAGTGATAATTTACGTGATATTTTAAATAATTCTAATGTTGATTGTATTGAAGAATTATTCTTGGTGGCTAATGGTACCAATCACTTGGTTAGATGATTATAAAGTTTAGATTTCAAACTTTGTATTTTCATTATTTTGTAAATGCCAGTCCCATTTTATGATAATACATTTATGATCATATATGAAAGCAATATTCCATATTCCTTATGATTTCAAATTGCTTTTTCTCAATATTGAAACAAAAAAAAGTACTACACGTAATATTGTAAAAATTTTTCACAAAATATTGTAAATTTATTTTAAACGCTATATATCTAATTACTACTACTCCTAATCTTAATTTCAGCCAAATTAATAGTTGCGTTGCAATGCATAGCAAAAAAAATAATAATTTTAAATATTTAAATATTTTATTTATAAAATCTATATTATAATTAAATAAAATTAGGTCAAGTTTATCAATTATTTAGAATTAGTTAAAAATTTTTAACATATTTTTCCCAATAGTCGGGTATTCCCATACAATTAGGTGCCGCTTTAAGAGTATCAAGATAAGCTGTATTAAAAAAAAAAAAAAATTAGAATTTATATATAAGAAACTTGCAATTAATGTATATATTTAACCTACCTGTATAAACGTCGCCATCATATTTTCCTAGAGGTGCTTTCAACATAAAATCGGAGAATCCCCAAGAATCAACGAGAGGAATACACTCTTTTCTTATTTCCTTACATAATTTTAAATGACATTTTTTTATCATTTTTACCTGTTCCTTACTAAAATATTCTTCTTCTAAAAATAAATATAACGAATCATTGATTAAATGTATAGCCCATAAACTTCCTAATTTAGTCAAAATGGGTATTAATTCTTTGAATTCATTATTCGTTGAACATTCTTTAATACCCTTAATATACTCTGATAATGTAAATCTATATGAATATAATTCTCCTAATTTAATTAAATCTACTTGGTTTTCATTCCATGTTGTCTCTTCACCTTCTGTTGATGAATCCAAACTTGCCGCAAGAACATCAACCTAAAAAAAAAAGAAAATACTTAAAAAATATACATAATAAGAACAATAAGGAATTATTTAATTATTTAGCAATTATCTTACCTTTTTACAACATAGCCAAGTATACATGTCCAATGTAAAATCCAAATTTAACAATTGTCTTTCATCTGATAAAATACTTTTTGTAGATGAACGAATTTGTTGTATATCATTCAAAAATTCTACCGATCCAGTAACTTTTTTACCATGAGAAACTTGTTTAAAAGATCCCAAAAGATATCTCTGTAACAAATAAAGGATATAAATTAAACTAATTTTTTTTTTCAAACAATAAATATAATATCATTATTTTTATACCGCGCTTTGTTGTATAAGCACAAAATTATCTCCCCCACCTATTAATAATAAATAAATAAATAAATAAATATAGTTTATAATTTTATCAAAATCAACCTTAGCTTACCTGTAGTAACAACACCCCAATCTCCAATAGCTCCACCAATACCATTATAAGAAGAATAAGCATAACCTCCCATAGATCTGCGAACTCTTTCTAAGACTTCACATCCCCACCATGAAATTGCTGCTTTTAATCCTGAGGATATTGCATGAATATCGGGCAAATATGAAATAAATTCTTCTTGACTTGTTTGCGCTAATTTCATAATTCCTTCCCATTTGTTTATAATCATCCTAAAAATAAAAAATATTTTCAATAACAAGTATAATTTTTGATGAAATTATTTAAAAGAAGATTTAGATTTACCGGGTTATTACTGATATAACGTATGTACTAGCAACGCATGGCATCAACCTAACATAATGAGATTGATAATCCATAATTTGTTCTTCATTAGCTCCTTGTCTTCTAACGCATCCATATCTACAAGCAATAGTAAGTACTTGTCCACATGTAGAAATAGCTCCTGACAATACACTGAGTCTTTCTCCAATTAATACGGAATATGATACGGCAGGAAATGCCGAAGGAATGTATTCTCCTCCTTTATCAACTTTAGACCATTTCATCATCATATTGGTTCTTGGAATACGAACATGCGAAAACTGAATCCATCCATTATCTATTCCATTTCTTCCATATTTTGCTCCTACATCTCCCGCTGTTACTCCTGGCATTAATTTTCCTGTTTTTTGATCTCTTAATTGTACTATGAACCAATTTGTTCCACATTTCTTTCCATCAATTATTGTTTGACATATTGCTATTGTATGTGTTGCAGTTTGCCCTGCCATTCCAATCCATCTAATCAAAAAAAGTAGAACATGTTAAAAAAATAAACACGATATAGATTCAAAAAAAAATAAAATTACATTTTTGTAGCCGTTAAAGTTGGAGAATGAATGATAAATTCATCAGTCTCTCTATCATATGTTGCAGTTGTTTCTAATCCACGCAAAAAAGAGCTATGACCAAGCTCAGTCTATAGAATAAATAACAATAAATTAATTTTCAAAAAATAAAAAAAAAATATGAAAATTTTTTTTTTCTATTTTACCATAGCAAAACATCCAATGATTTTCCAATTCACAATATCATTGATATAAGCATCGTATTGTTCGGTCGTACCAAATAATTTAAATGATTGTGCCATCAAATAATCATTCACGTAAACTTTCATATTAAAACTTTCCGAATACATGCTGTTTTAAAAATAAGTATTATATTAATAATCTTTAAAACAAATAGAAAAAAACAAAATTCTTACCCCATGGCAACTCCTAACGCTTTGAACAATAATGGATCCTTCAATGATTTTTTTAATTGAATATACCTAAAAATTTGTTTCATAGTGCTATAAAAGAAAAAACGTGTAAGCATCCTTTTTATTTTATCGAATTTTCTTTCAAAATAATAAAAATAGTTTCATACGCTTCGCGCTCTTCGGGTCTTGTTAAATCAAAAGGATGCCCTCCCGAAAAATGAAGTTCCGGATCGCGTTGAATTATCAGAAACGCATCTTGCTACTCACGCGAATAAAGGGTAATTAGTACAAATCAATGTGAAATGAAATAAATTTATATAAAATGGAGAAAATAAAGGAAACTAACGAAATTTAATAACAAAAACGAATGATAATATTTCTTACCAATGCTTCGGCGAATTCTTTACTACCCCAGAATAACCAATTCATATGCTTAACATTGAACGAAGCATTTTCTCGTTCTCTTGCTAAGTCGATAGGACCCGTTTGCTGGGGTTGATTACTGATATGATTTTGAATAGTTAACAGTCGATCTAACGCGATATTTTTCTTGGACATTTTATTAAAGTAAAGCTAGAAAATAATAATTCTTGTAGCTTGGAAAAATGACCTTATTCCGAAACTCGGGTTTATTTAAATTATTTAAATTTAAGTTTACTTTGCACAAAATTATGGCACCATATTACTATATTAAGATATTTTTTGTAATTCAGTTCCTTTTAAACTTTAGATTAAAAATTTAGCTCAACTGGTGCTTACACAGATGATTTAACAGGTGAGATGCTCCTGTTTGATAAACATCATTTTCCGATGGCAGTATAAATACTCTGTTTAACTCGGAATATGCCCACTAATATCAATTATGCCTTGTGTTCTAACTTTAAATAGTTTTAGAATTTAATGGAATAAAATCATAAAATTAATCCAGATAGCTACAAGTGATTCTCGATCCGCGCGAATGTGGATAGGCGCGATATTTAATAATGGCGCTTACTATTATTTATTTTATTTTATATAAGAGCGCATATGACTTCATAGGTTGCGCTCAAAACTTTTATGAATAATATGCGCTCTGCGCATATAAAAATAATCTGAATTTCCAACACTGAGTTTAAAGTTAACGCGACTTTGAAACTTTCAATATTGAGATTTAGGACAAATACATTTTGTGATGTCTCGAGAACTTTAATTGAAAAAGTAATAAACATTAAACATAAGGCCATTTTGATTCAATAATCTATTATCCCAATTTATAGTACTCAATTTCTTCAATATTATGAGGTAGTACAAAAAAAGAAGAATACAAACTTCATAACGTACTTAATGATCTTGAACGAGATAAATCCATTTTGAAAGTTTGTTTCATGTGCTGATGTGCATATTTGATCGATTAAAGAAAATTCTCTAATTACAAAATCAACTATTTATCAATATATACAGTATAAATAGTAATAGTGCATTTAGAGAGTTATAGAGAACAAATAATTAAAGATCATGGACTGAATTAGAGGTAAATTTATGGGGAGTTAACTGTATAACACCCACTTATTTATTGGTTAAATCAGCTAAATCAGGGGTTTCCTTCGATGTATGATGTATCTTTCAACCACGTTGTAAAATCGATTGCATCCTGTGAATGGAAAAAAGTTTTCTTTATCAATAATAGATAATTCTAAAAAATTTATCATCAGATTCTTGTGATATATATGAGTTATATATGACATATTTATTACTATACATTTTTATTCATTTTTTTTTGTTTGTAGTACGTTTTTTTTATCATCCAATTTTGGAAAATCAAAATGTCGATCAAATTCGAACATAAAATCAACTTACTTACGAAATTCAACGTTTTAAAAGGATTTCCCTTCGACTTAATGTAATTCGAACTTTTAAAAATGTCTTCACAACTTCCTACAATATTTAATTCAACATTTCTGACTTCAGGCCTAAGCAAAGGATTTTTCGAGTTTATTACTAAAGTTGGCGAAGCCAGAAGTAAACAGGTCAAAAAAAAATTTGAATTTCTTGAATTCATTGTATTTTAGATCTTTTTTTGATTATTTCTCTAAATTATAAAAACCAAATTGCAGGAAGAAGATAGATATGTAACGGAAGAACTTGCATACCTAAAAAATAAATTAAATCAGCCAGATATTTCTACGGTATTTTAATAAATTCTTTTCAATATTTTTAATTATTATCATTAATCAAATATTAACAAAAGAATAATATTTCTTCTCGGACAATGAAATTAGAGTAAAATGAAAGATTATATTACAAGATTAGTCTATTGTGACATGTTGGGACATAATGTTGAATTTGGTCATATTCATGCCGTTAAATTAGTTCAAAGTGCAAAAGGATTATGGGAAAAAAGAGTTGGTGAGTTTCATTATTTATAAAGCTTAATTAATATATTTAGAGAATTATTAATAATAACCTATTGAATTTAAATTGTGAGTAATGAAAGATATTATTAAATAATTCGTTCTAATAATGTGTTATAGGATATCTTTCATGTTCATTATTCTTGCATGAAACTCATGAACTCAGTATAATGTTAATTAATACAATACAAAAGGTAAATTGGAAACATCATTTACAGGGTCAATTATTTTTAAATCAAAGGCACTAAAGTGGACAGAGTTGTAGGATATATGTTAAATATGATACAGCGAAATAAAAGGGTTAAAATTTTAGAAGTAGGTAATTAATTAATATTTATTTATTTGTTTATTAGGATTTAAGGAGTAGCAATCATTTAGAAGTATGTGCAGCACTGACAGCTTTATGTCAGTTATTAAATACTGAAATGATTCCTGCAGTGTATGGATTAGTCGAGGAGAAATTATCTCACCCAAAGTAATTATAGTAACCTTTTGATTAATTTTCATTATAAGCTTTATAATAAGCTGATTAACTCCTTGTTCATAAGAGATATAGTCCGGAAAAAAGCTATCATGGTTTTTCACAGATTGTTTCGCGACAAGCCTGAATTGATCATACATCTTGACGAGAAATTTCGTCAAATATTATCCGGAGGAGATCCTGGTGTATTAGGGGCCATTTTATGTCTTTTTATCGACTTTGTAAAGGTATCATTAAAATTCACTGTTAGAATTTTAAAATCTTTTTCTCGAAAATTTAAAAAATATCTTCTTTAGGAAGATCCAAGTAAATACAAGGATTTAGTTCCCGTACTCGTTAATATTCTTGAACAAGTTCTAGATAGATACTTGCCTAGAAATTATGATTATCATGGAGCTCCTGCACCTTGGATTCAAGTAAAAATTATTCAAATTTTGGGAATGTTGGCACAAGATGATGAAAAGTAATTTTAATTATTTGCAAATGTTGCTAAACTATTAAAGAACTATCATATTAATTTGAATATTTTATAAGAATAAGTTCAGAAATTGGACAATTAATTGTTCATACTTTGAAAAAAGCAGAAAATGGCGTGGATTGTTCTTACGGTATTTGTTTTGCTCGTTTCATTCATAAATTTCATTAAATTTTACACTGATTTTTAATTAAAAATAATGTTTATTACTGCAGCTATAATATTCGAATGCATTCGCACCCTAGCAAGATTACATCCACAAGTCTTAACAACGCTTATTCACAAACCATCACATCTTAATCCATTAAGCGTAATCACACGCTTTTTAAAATCACATAATCATAATCTAAAATACTTGGGATTAATTGCATTGTCTGAAGTTGATCCTGTTTGGTGGGTTGAAGGCGAATGGTGGGGAGAGGAACAAATGAGAATTATCGTGGATTGTTTAGAAGAGAAAGACGATTCTCTCAAGAGAAAAGTTTGTCTATTATTACTGATACAATGTTTAATGTTTCTTAAATTTATTCAATTTAACAAGATTTCATTGACAATTTACAGACACTGGATTTATTATATATGATGGTTAATTCACAAAATATCATTATTATTGTGGAAAAAATGACTGAAGTATTACGTAAAACTTCGACAACTGATGAATTTTTGCGGAAATTATTAGTTGAGAGAATTATTGAAATTTCTGGAAAATATCCTTGAGATACCTCGAATTGTTTTGATATTATATATATATATTATTATTATTTTTATTTCTAAATATTTCCTTAATGATTCACTTTCGATAATTTTGTTATACACATTTGCTACTAATTCAGAGTGGTTGGTAAAATCTATAGTTACAGTATTTGAGATTGCTGGCGATTTGGTTGATGAAAAGACAGAAAATTTGGCGTTTTTGATTGTGTCCAAAGATACTGATGATCCTGAAAAGGATAGTGAATTACGTAAATATGCTGTCGTGGAATCAATTAAAGTCTTGGAAAAAGATTCAAGTAATATCTCATCAAGCCTGCTTATTTGGACCGTTAAGGTATTTAACTTTTTATTGGTGAGATTCTAATATTTCTTCTAGTTTTAGTTAAAATTTTTTATTTTGATAGGTCTTGGGAGAATTTCTGAATCATTTAGATGAAAAATATGGAATTGTAATAAATAAATTATGTGAATTGTTAAATAAGGATAATGGTTTGTATAACGTCAAATCTTTGTTCTTTCACAATATAATAATTTGAAACTAACTTTATTTTTTGCGCATTCAAGTTAATCGTAGTCTTCAGATAGTAATAATTACCTCATTACTTAAACAAGTGTCAAAGACAAAAAATTGTCCAAACAATATTATGGAAGCTATCATTAAATGTAGAGAATCATCTTCTGAAGATGTAAAGCAAGTATGCATTATTATAATTTATTTTATTGTTATTATTATTATTATTATTATTATTATTATTATTTTAATAATAAATTTTTTTGTTTTCCTTTATAGAGAAGTCAGGAATTTATTATATTAGCAGATGATTTTCTACTTTTGGACGAGATCTTGAAACCATCTCCATATAATGAAGAATTCGCGGTATATAGATTGAATTCGTTATGAAACTTATAAATTGATTTAAAGTTCGTATTAATCAATTAATTGATTTTACAGATTGACGAAACACTTTCATTTCTTGATGAATTTGTTGAAACAGCTTTGAAAAATGGTGCTAAACCCTATAATCCTATACCAATCGTTCGAAATAATGAAACTTCCGGTAAGAATATCAAAGCTTTATATAATCAAATTCTCTTAAAATAATTTTAACCCGATATTTTATATTTCAAATTAGAACACGAAAAAAAACCAGCAGAAATACGATATGAAGCATATGAAAAACCAGACTTACCATATTTCCAAAGTAAACCCGTAACGTCCAATATTTTAACATTTAGTGAGCCAAGATATGGAGATTCAGGACTTGCATCGCCGCCAATTGAAGATAGTATGTTAACTAGTTGGAGCGGAAATCCTCCCGTAACTCCAGGTCAGCTGGCATGGATGAGTGTCTCAAAAGACTCAACATTTGGAGAATATGAAGAATTCGATGGAAAGTGAGTCAAAATTTATTGCAAACAAATTTTATTCTTTAATAAAAAGAAACCCCATTAATAACAACTTAAATTAATAGTCGACAAAATAGGCAATCATTAATTTCGTCTGTTGCGAAGATAGTAACTTCACCCAATTCATTGAAATGGAGTCGTGCTGGATATAAACCAATTCAGCAACAACCGTCACGGTAACCTATCGTTTATATCAAGTTATTAATATTTGATCGTTTATATCTTAATTATATTTTCTTTTATTTAGCGACGTTGTTACCTCTCCAACGTTATCAGCTATATCAAGTGAAGAGTAAGTAACATAAACTTTTTCTTTTTCACTATAAGGATTTAAATAATTCAATTTATTTCTTTTAAGGACAACGAAGAGTTCATCAAGTAATGTTCATCCATTTTTGAGAACATCAGGCAAGGTAATTCGACAAATTAAGTTGATAATTAAAAATATATCTTTTTATATTTAAATACATTCTATATACATTAGACAGCGCCTATAACATCAATTACAACAAAGAGTGTTGTCCTCTCCGAAAAAGACAGATTAGCATCAGCTTTATTAAGTGGAGTTGGAACAAATTCGGAAATGAATGCTTCAATTTTTAAGCATTCCGGAAATGTTAATAGTCAAAAGTCTGATCAACGGAAGAATATAGTACGAAATTTTTGATTAAATAAAACTCTTTAAAATCAAGAGAGCGTATTAAAAGTTTTTTTTCAATTTTCTATAGGGAACTCCTTCATATCATCATGCAAGGACCGAATCTACATTTTCAGAGATATATCATAATATAGAATCTCTACATATAAACAGTAAGTATAGAGTAATTTGTGTGCTTTACTAATAAATTTATTAAAATTTTTTTTTCCCCTAGAAAATATATTACAATATTTAAAACCTTTACAAATGACTACAAAAGATTATGAAAAAATTTGGACAAATTTATCTAATGAAAGACGAGAAGAAGTAGTGGGTGAATCGGTTATAAATAATATGGAAATCATAAAACAAAGATTAGAGGATGGAACAATTGATAAGGTTAATGAGTTTGGAAATGCTAGTTATGGTGGTGATCTGATTGGAAAGGGGTGTTGGAAAATTGTTGAAATTATTGGTAAAGAAGCTATTGCAGCATCTCAGTATATTCAGATGAAAAATAGTACATTATCATTAAATGAAAATATAATTTTGTTGCATTTTAAGATACAACCTTCATATTGTGTTTTTATTATTAGAAGTGATATTGAAGGAATTATTGATAATGTTGCAGAAGAGATGAAATCTTATTTTATTGTGGAATGAGTGAAATAATATAATTTGTACTTTTTAAATATTTTTTAATTTAATAAACCTTGGCAATCATGTAAAATAGATCTTGCAAATTGGGCTTTTTATCTTTGAAAAATCACGTGAGCGTCCCAAATGGACTGCAAGATTGCATGTGACTGATAAAGCTATAAACCGTTTAATTCTCGAGATTGACAAACAATTTATTTGAAATGGCGACATATAAGTTTGGACCACATATACTTCCATCAAGTCAAGTATTTTTTCTTTCTAAACAATGTTTTGGATTTGTTAACTTAAAACCAGTTATTGCGTAAGTAACTATTTATTAAAATATACTTTTATTATATACCGTCTCTTATAAATTTCATTTTTTATTAATAATGCTATTAGTGGCCGTATCCTTTAAGATTAAGTAAAATAAATAGGATTAAGTGTGATATTTCTGAACGGACCATATATTTATATCTTAATGATTCAAAAATATTTTAGATGTTTTATTAACACCATTTCGTGTAGTTCAAAGATATATTGATTTGAACTCCGATGAAGTAAGAATGAAAAGAATTACATGATGAATAAAAATTCATGCACTATTTTTTATTTGATTTTTTATTTGATTTTAGATAAGTGATTTATTTTTAAGTGCGCAAAAAGTTGGTAAAGTTATCGAAAGAGAATATCAAGGAACTTCATTAACTTTTGTGATTCAGGTAATTAGAATATAGAAAAAGAAAAGAATTTTCAAATACTGATTTTAACATTATAATTATAACAACTTTAAAAATAAAGGACGGACCCGAAGCAGGACAAACAGTATTGTTTTCTATATATATATTTTCGATGGGTTATATTATTTTCGTTACTAATCATTATTTAATATAATAATCAGGTACCACATTGTCATCTACATATAATTCCAAGAAAAGTTGGAGATTGGTTCACAAACGATGGTATTCACAAAGAAATTGATAAATCTAACAGGGTCGATGATGAAGAACGCCCTCCTCGAAGTATTGAAGAGATGGCAAAAGAAGCTGAATTTTTAAGACAATTTTTTAATAATAATAATGAAAAATAATTTTGGATAATGATTAATGATTTCTAATGTCTATGATACTTAAATTTAACAATTGATCCAGGTCCATTTCTTCGAAATTTTCATGTCACCTTTCTCGTTATTATTAATTTCCGTATTAACTTTTTTATTATTAATTTTTTCAAAATGTTTAACAACTTTAACGATCATACCAACAACTTTATCAAAACTTTTACATAATTTCATTTGAATTGTCCAAGGAAAAATTTCGAAGGGAGGAATTTTTGATGTTAATTTAATGTTTAAAATATCTTTGGCAATAAAAACTTCTTGATGATAATTTTGTAATGAAGGATGCGATAAAAGAGATGTACGAAATTGATAAAGAATGAATGGTGGAATTAAATTATAAAATAATTTACATGCATATCGAAGTTTGAAATGTAAATCTATTAAATTACAGTTTATGAATATTAAATCGTAAAGTTCCGGAGGTAATGTTGTTAATGTTGGTTTTGCTCTTAAATGTGACGCAGTCTGTTCTTCTGAAGACGTTTTTGTACCAGGAACCATTTTTCTTTTTTTCTCTTTTTTTCGCAACCTGTTTTATCTATTTTTTTTTTTTTTTAAAAAAAAAAAATCGGAAATAAGCTTTCAAGTTTATTTTTCACACGTAAAATATTTTGAGGATTTTATAGATTTTTTTTTTGTATCGTGTAACCGATATTAATTTTACTAATTTACTAATTTTACTAGTTGATTTATAATCACATTGCATAATTTATGACGAAATAGATATTCTTTTAAATGATGAACTTTATTTTATATAGATTAATTTTGATTAAAAAAAGGAAAACCAAAAAAAAAACTAAAACAAATGGTTATTTACAGCCCCATTTACAATCCCAAATTACTTAAATCTTTCAACATATGTTCAGGACCACTAATTTTGTAACTGGTTGGACCTGGTTCTTCAATGTTTAATACTTTAACGATACCATCATCGACATACATCGAAAAACGTAATCCACGTTCACCAGCAAAAGGTAATTTTTGAAGAAGACCTAATCTACCATGAAATGCTGCTTCTCCATCTCCCAACATGAGGATCTTATTACCAGTATTATGACTTGCTGCCCATTCTCGCAAAACATAAGGATCTAAAAATAAAAGATCAATTAAAATCGAATATTTTTGTTTTTTTTTTAAAAAAAAAAGTGGTAACCTACCATTTACCGCGGTGCATGCGATTTTGTCAACTCCCTTTGCTTTCAATTCCTCTGATTTATCAACGAATTGAGGCAAGTGCTTTGAACTACAAATAGAAGTGTAGGCACCTAATTATCAAAACGAAACTGATTAATAATTGATAAATATCAAAAAAAATGGAAGAGTTAAAATAAAATATGTACCAGGAATTCCAAAGAGAACAACTTTCTTCCCCTTGAAAACTTCACCAGAAGTAATTTTATGAGGCTGTTCATCACCTTCATTAAATACACCGAAATATATATTATCGGGAATACAATCACCAACTTTGATCTTAGGCGTAGACATTTTTTTTTTTTGTTACTCGGATTTGTTTTTCGAAATTTTTTTTTATCAAGAGTTCGAAAGACTTTAGCTTTTTTATATCCTAAAAAAATTCTTATGATATCATATATTACTTCATAATTTGTAATTAATTTCTTGATAAAATTAATTAATTATATTCTTAAGTTATGACATATTTGAATTAGTATGCTCTCACAGTTTACACGCTAAAACTTTCGAGATGATACTATACGATTGGATATAAGAGAAGTTCTCGTGATTTCATATGATAAATTCATATATCAAATGTAATATGGATCAACATCTACACAAAAATTATTAATAAAATGGCAAAAAATGGTTAAACATTTATAGTATAATTTTAAGATTTATAATTATAATTATTAATAATATGAATGACGAAGTTATCTGTTAAATTCGTAACTAAAATTGCCATATACGGTATTCATAACGACAAATTTCCTGATCGTATTATTATTAATGCAGGTCAAAAAGTTTCTTTGATCAAATAATTTACTTTTGGATGAATTGCACCTTTTTATCGGTTTTATTACATAATATCCGATTTTTCTTAACAAATTACATATATATATCATCGTCCTTTAGTTAATGATAAAGGATGGATAATATATCACGTGCATATCACGTGCATAAATATTTGTAATAAGCGTGAAATTTTAAAAAACTCGTATATTTTGACATCCTATTATTTAAATCAAACAAAATTATGATTAATCGAAGGCTCTATTTGAGCAGAATCCAATTATAATATTTTCATAGAAATAAAATTTATATTAGTTAAATTATTAATTTTTTGTAATATATTTTTATTATCTCAAAAAAAAATTTTTTTTTCTGTAGCTTATGATTCAAATAAAGTGAAATTATATCAAAATAAAAGCTTTAAATAAGGTGATTCTAATGATATTAAAATAATCATCTTTATTGACAAGGAGTTATAAAAATCACATAAGTTTTCCACCATCAGATTTTGAATAAATAAAAATTTGCCTAAGTTTAAAATAAAACTTTATTATTACTTAAAATTCTTTAAATTATGATATAAAATAAATAATAGATAAATAAACAAATAAAATCATACCAAGTTTTGCTTTAGATTCTAAGCTTTTACACTTTTTACAACTTTATTACCCGCTAAAAAACTTTTTAAAAACAAATAAAAAATTGTTACTTATTATATTTAATATAAAAGTAACATGAAAACCTCTTTTATACCATAAACCCATCTAAAGTCTAACCCATCTAACTTCGCGCTGTTTATTTGAGTTTATAGATAGTATAAGTATATTCTTTATTTCAAAAATAAAAAGTTCTTTTTTATGTCCGCAAAAGATGATCATGTAACACAATCGAAATTAGGCTATCGGGCATCAGCGCATATATAATGTACATACAGTAACAGGTAAACTAAATTCAAAAAAAATTTCTCTTGCAATATTTTAATACACCAAAATATTATTGTTTCCATCAATAGATATTATTTATCCCTTACATTATTCTACCAGTAATTAAAAATATTGACAATATTAAAGTTAATTATGTGTTGTATGCAATGCATTAGCTTTTTTGCGCTGCATTGTTCCTATATATTAATAGAGCTCATATTTAATATTAAATTTCTACCTACTTTGCTTCTCTTAAAAGTAATATATATATATATACTTTATTTCAGGAATAATATTTCAAATAAATCAAGTGCAAGCAGAGGCGTTACCAAAAAAAATGATATTTATGTAACTTATTACTTTAATTGTTCAAATATTGATGTTGACTTTTTAATTGGAGAAGTCTCAAATGGTCCTTTTGATACATCAAGCTCGGCGGCTAGTTTCCATAACATTGATCATTTTATTATTTTACCATTATACGCATATTTTTCTATTCGTCCAAATAAAATTGGTATAAGACCTCATATTGGATTAGAGTTATGGTGCAACTTTTTATTAAAGAAGATTCTATTTATAAAAAAAATTTATTAGAACCCAACCTTCCATGGACGAGACGATGAAGACCCTTATGAGCGGTGTAGACTTTTTGAAACCGCTCTTGCTACCAATGGAAAGCTGCTAGAGACTGGTATGAAGGAGATTGAGGAACAAAATTTACAATTTAATCTTTGTAAATTGTAAAAACATAAACCATTTTCATTTAAATACTGATAAAGAATTCTACAAATCTGTTCCAACTTGATTGTTTAAGGTTATTTGGAAATGTGTTAATAGAGTTTATATTTAATATTAGATTTTTGCCTTACTTCGCTTCTCTTTGATACTCATCGCCTTGTTTAGCTTTGATTCAACACATGTTGCCCCCTTTTTATTTTACCCTTATACACATATTTTTTTTATTACCCATAGTTCCATAAAATTATAAAATTATCAATTGTATCAAATTTTTTTTTTTTTTTATTCAATCAAATAAAATTAATTTATTATGTTTTTATAATGTAACGTTTTATATGATTAGGAAAAGAATTTGAATTATAAGATAAGGTTGTTTCAGTCCAGACTTTCTACTGTGTGATTATCAAAATTTTGTTAGACTAATTTTAAATGCATGCGGATTATAGACTATATATCTATATATGTATATACTGTATGTATAATATATCATCATGATGATTTTCTTCTAATAATGGGTAATTAATTTGTGTTTCCTAGATTTCCCTAAAAATCAAAGGAGGATCTTTAGGTAATCAAGATGTTAAAAAAAACGCCAGGTGGCAGCCATCCTCCGTTATCCCGAAAATGTCCTTAATGTAGATTTTTATATAACTACCATTTTTACTTTGATAATTACAATTTTTGGGGAATGGTTCAATAATAACTGCGAGTATTACTTTTTATAGTTAATTTATTATGCTGTGTATCTGAAGATTTTTTAGCAATGATTATCATCCTAAGAAATCTAGAACAAACTTAATCGTTTGAAAATTTGAAAATTCCGAAATGAATGAAAACAAAGAAATAATAGTCAATAGAGATCATTATGTGATTATTTATGGTTGTTTTTTTTTAAAAAAAAAAAAGATTACAAACTCCCCTGATTTACAGCAGCGATGAATGACGAGTTATGACCAATAACGATGTTCAACTGATTTAATATATGAACCAATAACTTTTTTGGTAGTACTAACTCAGTTCAAAAATCGTGATAAATCGTGATAACACGTTCACTAGTCCTTTTTTATATTGACTTATCATACTAAGGCTGATAAGTATAAAATTGATCGCTTATCGATTACAGTAAATAAGGTTAGTGCAGAAAATACTTTTCAATGGAAATTTTCTTTTTGTTTATGCTACAAATCAGGACAATCGCTCGCTCTAATCCGTTTTTATTTCGTTTGAAGTCCAAAAAATAAAACTTTTTAAAAAACAAAAAAAAATTAATTGTCCTTTATCGTTTTTTTAATGTATATTTAAATTTCTATTTATATTATATGCATAGGATTTCTCTGCGTCAAAAGAAAAATGTCCTGCACGCAACATTGTTATTCACTCTTAACTAAATAATATAAATAAATGAAATAATGCGATTTACAAAAAAATAAAATATATTGTGTAACTTAAACTTGGCCAAATCTTAATCGGATTTCACGTATCCATAAATATATATTTATACCAAAGTTGGTTTTTTTTAACAGGAGAAAAAAAAAAAAACTTAAAATTGTAACTTGATTTTTTTACAAAATTTGAAATTTGATTTTTTTCTTTTGTTAAAAGATTTATTAAAATTTTTTTTTTTTTTTTTTTGTTTCCATTAATAACATTCTTTCTTTCTTCTTCCTTTAATAATATTAGGTGTAGGAAGAAGTTTAGCAGCTTTTATCGCATCTTATAACCCAAAAAAATTAATCTTAGCAGTAAGAAATCGAGCCAAAGGAGAAGCAACATTAGAATTTATTGAAACAAGAAATGGACATAGTAATAACGTTGAAGTATGGGATATGGATCTTGCCGATTTGAAAAGCGTTAAATCATTCGCTGAAAAATTTATTAAAGAAGTCGGTGAATTACATTTATTATTTAATAATGCTGGTATGCTAATTTGGTCGAAACCATTTTTTTTTTTATTTATAACCAAACTAAATTACATTATTATATTTTTGAGTCATTAGGTTCCGCTCCAATGGAATTAATGAAAATTAAGAATACTAAGAATAATTTTGAAGTGACTTTTCAGGTAAATAATTGTTATATGCTTTAAAAAAAAAAAAAAAAAAAATTATTTACCATTTTCTCTCCAATTCATAGGTTAATTATTTATCTCAATTTCTTTTAACGAATTTGTTATTGGACACTTTGAAGAAATCTGCATCACCTGAATTCCCTTGTAAAATTATTAATACCAATTCAAAAGAACACAGATTAGGTACGATTGATTTTGAAAATTTCAGTGGCCATAAATCTGCTTGTCATATTTATGTGAACACCAAATTAATGGTAAGTAATTTCAAAAATTGATTTATTTTTTTCAATATTGAATTTATAATAACATGTGCATTATTTTTAGGGAGTAATTTTTAGTAATGAACTGAATAGAAAATTGAAAGGCACCAGTAAGTTATTCTCTCCGTTATTTTCTCCTCCTCTATTTTTGTTGAGAGCATTTAACAACATATTATTCCTTAATTAACAGATGTATCGTCACTTGCAATTCATCCGGGGTTGATAAAATCAAAGGTGTCTCATCTGTACAACAAAAATAGAAAATTTAAAAAGAAATTATTTCATAATTTCTTTATGTTATTTGCTAAGTCACCCGATTATGGTGCTTTACAGATTTTAATTCCAACTTTTTCAATAAGTAAACGTAACTTAGGTTATAGTTATTATGAAAATTGTAAAGAAGTTAAACCAAGTGATAAAGCACTAAATGAAGCTTTAGCAAAAAAACTTTGGGATTATTCTGATAAATTACTAAAATCTAAAGTATCTTATTGTTCATCTTATTCCTCATTTTCTTCTTCTTTTAGATCCTTAAGATCTTTAAAAAGATAAAAAAAAATTAGAAAAAAAAGTAAATAGAACAAATATTGTAATTTATAGACACACATTATACATGTTAAAGATTTATTATTTAATATAATCTATTTAATTCAATAAAATTTGGCATTTTTTCATCATTTTTTTGGCGTAGTCTTTCTTGGTGCAGAGTGCGGACTTTCCTGTAAAAAATGTAACGAAAATCCACGTGATTTTTTTCAGTAGAAATTGAAAAATCCTGTTCTAATTCCAGATGAATGTCGCAATGTTGGCCATTTTGGAGTAGTCCTTGGCGCAGTCTCGCAGTCTCTTAGCGCAGTCTTGGCGCAGTAAAATGTAAAAATCGAATCACATGAGCGACGATCAAAATTACTGTACGTCACCAACAGACTCGTCCCTTTCTTCTTTAGATATTGGTTTTGCTATTCTCATTTTGGCATTACAAAACAAAATACAAATAATTCGACCCTTATTATCCCGTTCCACTTTGACATCCTCAATTTGGTTTCCACATAATTGTTTTGTAATGTGCTTGTAGGCGACATATAATCAACGAAATAAATTTTCAGTGTATCCGAATCTTCATAATAAATAGGATTAAGTGTAAGAGGCGGTTTTCCATCTATTATCTCTCTCACATCGAACATATGACACTGTAGTGTCATCTATGTCAATTGAAACTATCTTTTCATCACGGGTATAAGATCAGGGGTCGTTTTTGCAAAATAAATTGCAAAATTATCGGTATCCTCATAATATCTGAAAACTATATCAGGCCTTATTGTGGAGTCAAACCGGTATGCATCATCAGTACATAAAAATCATGAACCTTAAATATACAACAAAATTCAAATAGCTATTTACCAATCCGTAAAGTTTTCGAGGCTGAATTTATGTTCTTGGTTAAGTTTGCCTGTTTTCTAAGCTGAAAATTATAAAAGTTAGAACAAGCATGCAAAAAAAATAAATATGAAGAAATCCCAAATTAGATGATTAAGAGTCTCAGCAAAGACTACTCAACACGTGTTTGTATTTCTGAACGGCCTGATAACATTATGTGGTGCGGAAGTGCTATCCTCTTCAAAACTGATTTCAAAAAACATTTTATTCCAATATTGTCTTGTCGAACCAAGTATATCGTCCAGGGATTAGTTCTTGGATTTATAACTACATGAACTAGTAGTTTGTCGTTATATGATAATTTCTGTTGGGTAATTATTCTCTCAGTCTCAGGATAAAAATTATTCTGACACCGTTGTGCACTAGAATCACGATTTTTTATATGCGATCAAAACTCTTTTGACACTTTTTATTTTTTTGCCAAATAAATTCTAAGTATGACTCTTCGAGAGCTGAGGACCACTTTTTAAAATCAAAAGATCGATCCATAGTTAAAATGAATACCCAAGAAGTTTCTTCTTTATAGGTGTAATCATGTGATAATTTCCAAACTGAAAAGTGAAATAATGAATATGATGTTTTTTTGTTTGGACAATGGCATATTCTGGTTCATGATTTGTCAATGTACAGTATATATAGAAAAAGTTATATCATCGTGACACGTAACTATTACAAATCAAAATATGAGTAATGATAGCCAGATTAATTTTGCCGGGTTACATAGTTACATATCAAATAACAATTCTCAGAAAGCTTTCAAAGAAGGTTATGATGAACTCATAGATAGTTCATCTGATTCGTCCGATGAAAGTGATTCTTCCGATGAAAGCGTTATATGAAAAATATGCCGCCAGGCTCGGAGCTCTAGAATCTGACCTGCGGCCACAAGTCACCCGCGGTGTTGGCTTTGTTTGTGCGACAGAATACATGCCCACTTTTTTTTCACACCCGAACATCTAGTATAGAACTTATAACTGACTTTTTCCAAAATTGACCCAATTTGCTCTTTTTTTATTTTTCGTTTTTTTGCAATTATCTCAGCATCTAGTGATCCGACTTGGATAAACTTTTTTTTATTTGAAATCGGAGCAACTAGATACTGAGAAAATTGCAAAAAAAACTGATTTTAATTTTTTATAAAGGTTTCAATTAGACCTCAAAATCACCGATATGAGTTGATTTAGAGATGTCCGGGGTCCTGTATATATATTAACCGTACCTCTGAAACAGATATAACTACTATATGACAAACAATTTCAATTTCATAACTTTCTTTGTTTACTAATATAAGGTCAAAATTCAACACAAAGATTTATCATTTCTTTATTATTTAAAGAAACTAAAAATTATATATAGCTTCAGTTATCGGTCATGTAGATGATAACAGGTGTATCTATTATAAAGTGATCATTAACATACATAGAACATATACAATAAAACTTCTGTTGTTTTATTCATAAGCAAGCTTATTTTGGCATTTAAAAATTTTTCTAAGGCAACACTTTTTTTATTTAGAACTTTTTCAATAAAGCTTGATTGATATACACAATGGGTATCTTGAAATTTCGGAGGTTTGGCCCCCCATTACGCGAATTTTACTATTAATAGAAACTTATAAAATAATTAGGGTATTGTTACAAGATATATTTAAATAATAATATCAACGACATCACAATAATATTAATAGATAAATTAATTTTTTTATATAAATATTTATCATCTTTTCTTTTTCCTTACATCCATTATTTTTCAAAAAATGTGTACACAAAAAATCGTTGCGTTTTTTTCACTTTTAACACCATTTATTTGGTTTACATGGTTAACATATGTCGCAATTTTACCAATGTGCGCAATTCTAGGCCGGTTGGTCTGTATGGAGTGTTTATCACGCGCTTTGTCAACTTTTTTCAATTCTTCTGTCACCTTCTTAACTTTTTCAATTTCCAATTATCTAGGCTTTGCCCTTCGCTTTTTTCGCCATGATTATCGCTAACGTACTTGTACTATTCCGCTTAATAAAAAAAGGTGTGATATCGATAAATCATAAAATTATGTTATTATTTAACTGATCATACTGATAATCTTCAATAGCAATCTACAATACAAGCACAGACGATGGGTAAGTAGTATATTGCGGTAATGTTATTTATTCAACAAAGGATTATTTTTCACTTTTTTATTGTTTTCTTAGATTGTTCACACCTACTAGAGATGCGCTACAAGAAATATTTCCGCGAGCTTCTGGCAAACAAATCGCACGATATGAGAAAATAGTCAGTCAAGCAGATGAATTTGATCCATTCCTGATAATTTCTCCGAATTTAAACTGGATAAACCAGTATGGAGAACAAGCTTATCACCTCGTGATGGATTGTTTCGCAACAGAAGGGCTTCAGAATGCCCGTAGGGATGAAAACTCACGATGCGTTTTCCATTTTCGAAACGGTCGTGAGCTTACTGACGTGCGTAATGCCATTCGCCAAAGACTCATTAATACTTTTTACATCCCTCCCGCCCTTCAAGCTTCTCATCCTCATGGCCAAGCTGTCCCCGTTGGATCCGCGTGGATATTGACAAAGGTGGGAGTACGAGAAAGTGATTTTTGGGAAGATGATACTTTTTTTCATGTTCATCAATGATACTATTAGAAGTCTATTCAAGCGATTAGTCAGTTTGTTTAAATATTGCAGTTGAGATTGAACAATATTTGATGTCATTAAAATATTTCCAATGTTTTAAAAAATGATGCATGTACCATTCATTTATATAAAGGCTAAAAAATAAAAGCGAGGAATATTAGAAAACTTTTTAATACAATCCTTATGATGTGATACGGAAAAATAATGGTCAATTTGGTCACAGGCGCAGTAAATTAAAAGATTTAGCCTGATATATCATTTCATTAACACTACTAGCACTAAAAAACACTATTTTCGGTAACAATTGACAATACTGGAGTACGATCTAAATTTAAATCGTATTTACCATCTATCTCAATGCGTTTTTTAACCAAAACTCATCAGTGAATGTAAGTTGGTAATATTGATCGAATGAATCAACCAAATTCTGAAAAATTGTCTTGCCCTCTCCTTTCGTTTTCGAAGAATAGCCTCTTTCATTTGATCTTGCTCAGGAATATGCTCTCCAATTTTATCGTTAACTAAGGCATTAAAGCCTAGTTTTATTAAAATGATCAAACTATAATATATACAGTATCCTTTTCCAAATCGACAATAATTTTTATGCACTAAATATAACCATTTAGAAAATCGAGACTTCCCCGAGTACATGACGAAGTTTCTATACAATGAATACATGTAGTCGTCGCTCCCGTTTCTATGCTAATAATATACATGATAATTTTTTCGAGCGATATGACTTTTTCTCTCAGGAGATTATCCGCACATGCATCTTGATGCTTAATGTAATTTATCGCCTTGCTAGTTTCGAGCTGTAGTGACTATCCCATACAGTAATCAGAATAACCGTCATCTTCCCGCTTTTGTTTTCTCTTGACAAACCGACTACGTTTCGCTATGGTTTATCTTCAGCGACACAAATAAGGTTTCAGCTTCCTGGAACGAAACTATGATATGAGTATATTATTCTCGTTGCGAAGTCAACCCATCCCGTGCTTTCATCACCAAATACTTCGTATTCAGACCTCATGATGAGTTCTTTCCCTGTAGTATCTCTTGTAATATTTATCGCAGTATAAAGAATTGTCACGACGTATGATAAATGATGGTAGATATTGGAAGGTCATAATCCTTGACTGCACACCGCGAAAGCAACGTGCGAAGGTTTATGAGGGCTGACCGGACGGCTTTAAAGGGTTGCAAATAGATGACTGGGGCCCATCATACGAGAACCCACCCCAAGGTTATATCTTTGAAAGTGGAGCCTTTGTTAAGGTATCTGAATATAAATCATCAGGTTCAAATTCACTGTCTTGAAGATATAGTAGTTGGTCTTCTAAGTGCTCTGGAGTCACTCTTGCAAAGGATCTGATGGTCATAATAGAGAATATAGATGGTGGTGAAGGATACCATGATATATGTAGTTTAGGACACAATTGACATAATTAATTTTTAAATTGAAAATTTTAAATTGAATTGAAAAATTGAATAATATTGAATTGAAACTCATTGCATGAATTCCAAACTATTTCACATCCAAAGACCCATAATTTTTTAACGACTAAAATTTCCACTCAAACTCTTTTATGAGGAGAACGGGCGCTTCGGCTTTTCTTTGAGGACCTAAACCTCTTTTGCAAGTTTCATGGCTGGTCCCAATTCCAACCCAGCTTGAATAAAATCATCCTTTCTCATATTGGCCATCGATTTTTTCGCTTGCGAAGTATTCCCAAGTCATCGTCAAGCTTGAGGTTCTGCTCTTTCAAAAATCGATAAGGGTCTCTGTATCCCAGTTCTCAACCGTTGAGGTAGACAAAACGCTTTTTTAGGGATATTTGGCTCGGATAAAAAATGTGTTACGTTCGGAGTGATTGACCGAAAAAATATTTCTGGAAAAGCGGGCGTTAATATACGATTTTATGTCGCACAGACATCGCGTAATCACGTGACATTATCAACAAAATGATAATAATTTGGAAATAATTGAAAAATATATTGATTTAGGAATTATTAAGAAATTTAAAGTTACAGATTATGATGATTTAGAATATATTTTATTTAATTTTGTAGCTCTAGGAAACTTGCCTTAGATTATTCAATTTACTTGACTCCTGCCAAATGTAACTCTTTGCGTAGCTTTATCGATTGTAAGACTATGAAGTTGTCCACAAGGAATAATAAGACAGTTGAGAGTAATATCGGACATCTTGCTTTCCTGAATGCATGGCCCTTAGTGAGAAATTATTCGCATGAAATCATAACTTCTTACATATACGCACCTTATTTTTTCGCGGGAAGGTTGGCTGAACTTCTACCAGTCCCCTCACGCTTTATATACTGGAGCTCGCTGAATAAAGACCGAACGCCGAAGATAAGGAAGATGTTTTATCGTTATCATATGATGCCAAGAAACCTTTGAAGGTACATGAAATCGGGAATTTTGATTCCTTTTAGTTTAGCGATCTTTCTCGCAAGACTCAAAGTAGCTTTACGACTGAAGATCTCGGAAATTATGAAGTCCCGAGCCCTTCATAACATACAGTTTTAAGCTAATATTGACTTATAGGGTAGGTCCTGCAAGAAAGCATTTCAATTCCTCTCGTTTGTATGAGAAAAAAGGTAGAGGTGGCAGTTAGCGTATTCGATTTTTTTCTGTCGCACAAGGCACAAGCACAGCCAACTCGCATAACTCGTGGCTGCAAGTCTAATCAATATCTAGATCGGACCAATTGTTCTGCTAGAGATAGCTCAACGCTCTTTAAGCAATAGCATTTATGTGGCCAGATAATTGTTTCAATCGGAACAAACAATATGTAAAATAACCAAACTGATTGTCTTCCATCTCGATTTACCTTCGGGATAGGAATTAGTTAATTTACTTTTTTAAATGTATTGACCATACAATTTTAATAAAAAATTGTTAATTAAGCATCTTTATTGATAAAAAATATATGGTATAAATACAAAGATCTAGATATCCAGGGTTTTGATAAAATTATCAACTATTACATGATCAAAATGTTCAGCGTAATTCTTTCCTTATGATCCGATCAAGATCTGCTATCATATATTTCAGGGCATTGTTTTTGAAGGTGATATCCTTTATATCTGGAAGTACCCATCTATGATACAACTTATTGTGTGTTCCAGAAGTGAAGATACAGTATCCTTTGGTTTGTGCAAATTTGATATATAATTCATAAGTAACAACAATGCTTAGATACCGCTATAAACACTGGTCTTTTATCTCTTTTGTCTATAATATCGGTCAATATGTTCATTTCCACATGTAAATATAAGTGTTGTTCAATTTTTTCGTTGTCCAATTGTGGATTGTCGTTACATCTGTCCTATATATCTCCTTTAATTTTTCCAATGTATCATGGTCATTCAAACACCTTTTCTTGAATTTTTTATACTCTCTGGTAACACGAACAAACTTTCGAATAACACTCTCCCATGAAAAAACGGGTTGACGAGGAACCTTAACGGGCTTCAACATAACCACATCCATATTAGAAAATTGGTTTTTGTACTTTTCATTACAGGCGCATGCTGTGGTATCGACCAAAGCTGAATAGTAAGATCCTACCTTTTTGAGATGTCTTCGGAATTGCAGGATTATTTTTGACTATTTTATAATACCTACCACAAATGCTAGACATGGTGTAACCACGTACTTCAATTACATCCGCAAATTCTGTGAAAGATAAAATATGTTGATTTTAGTTATATAATCCTTAAGTTTTTTAAGTCTAGATTCGAACTTAGTAGAACAGTATCTCATTATAGTTCCGAATAAATCCCCCACATCACTTCTTAGAAATGCCGTATTCAACGGTATGGGAGCATCTTTAGATATATTTATAAAATATTCCTTGATTTTGTTGATATATTCAACATCGTGTTTGTCCAAATTCCGGTTTTAGAAATATAAACAACACATTTATCGGTACTACTTCTTGTTCTCTTGCAAATATTGTTGCTAGATGACAAGAAAAACTTTCGTCCACTTCTTCCTCTCTTTCTTTGCTAACGACAAACTTGATACTTCCGGCAACACACACTTTACTATACAATTCTTGCATTTTTGCCCAACTTACAAAAAGGAATCAAATTCTTCCGGGAGTATTAAAAATTTCAATTTTAAAATAAAAAAAATATTAATAATAATTTTAAAAGTAATTTTTTTTTAGCTCCCGACAAGACGCTTATGCAACCGCAGGTCTTGATTTCCTCTTTTTTAATGAGGAACCTCGAGCGGACTATTACCATGTCGTCGTACGTCCCCTGACAGAATAGATTTCTGTATTAAATAAAGCATTGATACTGTTCTTGATAATGTCACGTGGATTACGAAATATCTGTGCGACATAAAATCGTATATTAAGTATTAACGCCCGCTTTTCCAGAAATATTTTTTATTTGATCATTCCGAACGTAACACATTTTTTATCCGAGCCAAATATCTCTAAAAAAGCGCTAAGTCTGCTGAACACGACTCTTACTTGGTTGAGAACTGGGATACAGAGACCCTTATCGTTTTTTTGAAAGAGCAGAACCTCAAGCTCGACGACGATGATTTGGGAATACTTCGCAAGCAAAAAATCGATGGCCAAGTCTTTCTTGATATGAGAAATTCAAGCTGGAGTTGGAATTGGGATCAGCTATGAAACTTGCAAAGAGGTTCAGGCCCTCAAAGAAAAGCCGAAGCGCCCGTTCTCCTCATAAAAGAGCTTGAGTGGAAATTTTAGTCAGGTTAAAAAATTATGAATCTTTGGATGTGGATAGTTTGAAATTCATGCAATGAGTACGTAGTGACAATTCTTTATACTGCGATAAATATTACAAGAGATTCTACAGGGAAAGAACTCACCATGAGGCCTGAAAACCCTGAATACGAAGTATTTGGTGATGAAAGCACTGGTTGACTTCGCAATCAAGGTAATGGATGTTTTTTCCGGAATTTTTTTCGAGAATATACTCATCCCATACTTTCGTTCCAGGAAGCTGGAACCTTATTTGTGTCGCTGAAGATAAACCATAACGAAACGTAATCGGTTTGTCAAGAGAAAACGAAAGCGGGAAGATGGCGGTTATTCTGATTATTGTACGAGATAAGTCACTACAGCTCAAGACTAGCAAGGCAGTAAATTACATTAAGCATTAAGATGTTTTGGATAAAACTTCGCGGAATATCGAATGTTGCGAAGTGGCGTAAAAAAGGTGTTGGATACAATAGTGGATTATTAAGAAATAGGGCATGTGCGGATAATCTCTTGAGAGAAAAAATCATATCGCTCGAAAAAATTATCGTGTATATTATTAGCATAGAAACGGGAGCGACGATTACATGTATTCATTGTATAGAAACTTCGTCATGTACTCGGGGAAAGTCTCAATTTTCTAAATGCTTATATATAGTGCATAAAAATTATTGTCGAATTATTCTTTTGGAAAAAGATACTGTATATATTATGGTGATCGTTTTAATAAAACTAGGCTTTAATGCCTTAGTTAACGATAAAATTGGAGAGCATATTCCTGAACAAGATCAAATGAAAGAGGCTATTCTTCGAAAACGAAAGGAGAGGGCAAGACAATTTTTCAAAATTTTTTTTAGCGGTATTGGTAGTGCTAGTAGTGTTAATGAAATGATATATCAGGCTAAATCTTTTAATTTACTGCGCCTGTGACCATTATTTTTCCGTATCACATCTTAAAAAGTTTTCTAATATTCCTCGCTTTATTTTTTAGCCTTTATACAAATGAAATGGTACATGCATTAAAATAATATCATTTTTAAAACATTGTAAATATTTTAATGACATCAAATGATATTGTTCAATCACAACTGCAATATTTAAAACAAACTGACTAATCGTTAGAATAGACTCCTAATAGTATCAGGATTTTGACGTTTCAGGATTTAGAGTGTCAGAAAAAAACTGTCATCTTCCCAAAAATCACTATCTCGTGCCCCCACCTTTGTCAATATCCACGCGGTTCCGACGGGGACAGTTTGGCCATGAGGATGAGTGGCTTGGAGGGAAGGAGGGATGTAGAAAGCATTAATGAGTCTTTGGCGTATAGCATCACGCACGTCAACAAGCTCACGACCGTTTCGAAAATGAAAAACGCATCGTGAGTTTTCATCCCTACGGGCATTCTGAAGCCCTTCTGTTGCGAAACCATCCATCACGAGGTGATAAGCTTGTTCTCCATACTGGTTTATCCAGTTTAAATTCGGAGAAATTATCAGGACTGGATCAAGCTCATCTGCTTGGTTGACTATTTTCTCATATCGTGCGATTTGTTGGCTAGAAGCTCGCGGAAATATTTCTTGTAGCGCATCTCTAGTAGGTGTGAACAATCTAAGAAACAATAAAAAAGTGAAAAATAACCCTTTATTGAATAAATAACATTACCGCAATATACTACTTACCCATCGTCTGTGCTTGTATTGTAGATTGCTAATGAAGATTATCAGTATGATCAGTTAAATAATAACATAATTTTATGATTTATCGATATCACACCTTTTTTTATTAAGCGGAATAGTACAAGTACGTTAGCGATAATCATGGCGAAAAAAGCGAAGGGCAAAGCCTAGATAATTGGAAATTGAAAAAGTTAGAAGGTGACAGAAGAATTGAAAAAAAGTTAACAAAGCGCGTGAAAACACTCCATACAGACCAACCAGCCTAGAATTGCACACATCGGTAAAATTGCGACATATGTTAACCATATAAACCAAGTAAGTGGTGTTAAAAGTGAAAAAAACGCAACGATTTTTTGTACACACATGTTAGGAAAAAGAAAAGATGTCAAAGATTTATATAAAAAAATTAATTTATCTATTAATATTTCCATCAGTGATGTCGTTGATATTATTATTTTAATAGTAAAAACTCGCGTAATAAGGGGGCCAAACCACCGAAATTTGCAAGATACCCATTGTGTATAACAATCAAGCTTTAGTTAAATTGTTTTATTTGCTTTTACCCCTTTTACTATATCACAATGTCAAACTAATTGTCATATGAAAAAGTACTAAATGAAAAAATTGTTGCCTTAGAAAAATGTTTAAAATGCCAAAATAAGCTTAAAGCAGCTTGCTAAAGAATAAAACAACATATATGAGATAATTAGTTTTATTGTGTAAGCACTGGACATTTTTCAGTTTTTCACGTATGTTATTGATCACTTTATAATAGCGATACACAAATTTTGGTCACTTTATAATTAGTTATATACAAAATTTTATTATAAAATAATCAATAAGATACACAAAAAAGGTCTCGATAACTTTACTATCCACAACATGACCGATAACAATTACTATATCATTGAAGCTATATATAACGTTTTAGTTTCTTTAAATAATAAAAAATGAGTTTTATGGAGAAAATAATAATTGTATTGAATTTTGACCTAAACAAAATTGAAATTGTTCGTCATAGAGTAGTCATATCTGTTTCAAAGGTATGGATATTTAAGACTGTCAGTTGCGTAACTGATCAACTGATGAGTCAGAACAATCTGTGCGATAATCGATTTCTGGAATCTGGATATCCCCCAAAATTTTTTCTCCATTCCTGTTACACTTTTCATACTTTCATGTCGTCTAACGTTGCAGCTGGCTTAATTACGGTTGACGAATTAAAGAAATTTAATAGTGAACAACTTAACGAATATTTGAATAGGAGACTGAAGGATACTAATAATATTAATAAACACGCAAATACTATCACAGTAAAACATGAAGTTAAGGGTTCAAATTTTCTTGATCTGACGCGAGATGATCTTTTGAGTATTAAAATACCTCCTGGAACAGTTAAAGATATTGAAAAGGTGATTAATGAAATTAAAGGAGGTAAGTGAATTTCATTTTCGCTCACACCGTGTCATATTCGCCAATAATACCGAATACTTACTTATCTTTCCTGCTTCTTATCGTCAAACCCGCCCAAAAAACACATTCGCGTTATCGTAGTGCAACTTGTTGCTGGTAAGTGTGTCGTAATAAAATTAGTCAATGCGAATGAACGCGTCCTGGCTTGATTTTTGATAGCCATTTTTTTCATTCTCGTCTGCGTGGTGTCATGCCTAATATTTTACGCTGATTTTTTTTATTCGCTTCTATGTACCCCATATTTATTCATTTTATTATACAGAGCCTCCTCAAAACGCGTAAAAACAGATCAGGATGAAATAGATTATGAATCTCTAAATAAATTTTGGCAAGCTATAAAGAAGGCATCTTGTGATAAATTTCTTAAACTATCTAAAGATACTCGATTTTTGGGAAAAAGAAATGGATCTTCCACTCTATTGATTCGTAAATGTTATCGCGATCTGACGCCTGTTGTCTTTGACACTAAAATAGACAAACTGCGCATAACCGGAAATCCGGGTATTGGAAAAACCTACTTCGGATATTATTTACTTTATTTACTTGCACTACAAGATGCAACTATTGTATATGATAACTTTAATGAAACTAGACCGATTATCTTTGAAGGAGGAAAAGCCCTTGTTAGTGACATAAATGGTATATAGAGATACCTGAGAAGATTGGATGTCTGGTATATTGTAGATGGCAAGGAACCAAAAGAAGTTAATGCTAAAACAATTCTAATTTGTTCGCCCAAGAAGGATCACTATTGGAATTTTGCAAAGTATGATGGAGTAGTTACAGTACGGTTTATGCCAACATGGAGTTTGCAAGAGATCACTAAGTGCAGGTCAGAACTCTATGACAATATCGTATCCTTGGATTTAGCTAAGCGTCTGTTCAACAGGTGGGGGGTATCCCTCGGTTTGTACTGCAAAGGGCTAATGATTCAACTTATCAAGATATGCTTGATAAGGCAATTACAGGGTGCACTATGGATATTTTTGATTATGTTGGCGAACTCGATGCAGGTGACAAAATTAGTCACATGCTCGTCCATATCTGCGTGAACCTCCCAGCTGGTGACGATGATGATGATGACAACAACGACGACGATGATGGTTATGACAAAAGAGAGAATATAAGTAGTTCTTCTGGTTCACAAATTCAGCTAGATAAAAATGATAAAGAAGCCTATACAGAGACAATTGTAAAATTTGCATCTAAATATGTGAGGAGACAGGTGACTGTGCAATATGAAGCACGTATAAGAGAAAGACTTCTTGAAAAAACTAAAGCGGGCACAGGTAATCCACTCCTGGGTATCGTATATGAGTATATGGCTCACAAGATATTGCGTAATGGAGGAAATTTTGATGTTCGTCCTTTAGATTAGTATAATAAGAAAGATTATAATGATCCAAATGCAAAGAGTTGATTTACCTAAACAAGACAATGCAATAATTTTTACTAAAAAAAGGACTTATTTGATCGAGAACGGAAAATATTGTCAACCGTTGGAAAAGAATTTTCCATCATGTGATTCAATTATTGCCCCTAATAGGATCTTTCACTCTTGCAAAACATAATCTCATTAAGATGAGTGGTTTGAAAATTCTTTATAACAAACTGGGTGACAAGTCAGCAGATCATCTTATCTACCATTATTTTGTTGTACCGGAACATCTATATGACGATTATCAAGTGCAAAAAATCGTTACCTCTGATAGTAATGAAGCTAATACCATACCAGATTGGATTAATACCCGCATTTTCCAATATGTTTTGAAAATTAAGCTGTGAAGAACGTGTTTGAGAATTTGGGGATTTACTGTGTAATACATTAATATTAAGGGTTTGTAATTAGGCTAAATAGATATCATAGGTACATTTTACATAATTATAATTAGTAAAGCATTTTTTATTTACTATTTTGCATGAAAACATTATCTTACATATTTCATAAATTCATTACTTTCATTACTTGTATCATTGAACTTTTTCTTAGCTACATACTGCACGTAACGATATAGGGTAACCGTGACGGCCTCGTAGTTTAGCATTTTTTACGTCATACAAATAAAGTTTATGATTTGCCGTTTGAATGGCATTTTCGCAAAAATTTTTTCTTGGCAAAGTGATCGGCGTGAACAATTGCTCATGCACACGTGATTTGCGCAATTTTGGACACGGTGTCCACCCGTGTATTCTCAAACGTATATTAGTGAACTTTTATTTTAAAGTGTAGATTATCCCGAATGTACTGCGCCGTTTCTTCTGCGCAATTTTGATGAGCCCGGACTCTAACATCAGATATTCATATACATAGCTAAATTTAACCTGACGCTGATCCCCATGCTTACATCAGATAAATCTAACTTTTAACAGATTATCTAAAAACGCGTGATATTTTTGATAACTACAATAACTATTGATTAATCATTGACACGTTTTGTAAATAATTATGTAATATAATACCAACGCCAACTTTCAATGTGATCGGATCTAATTTAACCAAATCAAAAAACACCTGAAGTTCTTTTGAACAATCGAATAAAAATGAATCTGATATTTTATTATAATATACTTGATATAAATCAGGACCCAGAAATATATATATAGGCGAAAAATTTTTTTACTATGAGCTGTACGCAGAGACTTTTTATATGAGTAGTACGCATAAGGGGATGGCCAGAAATGACGTCATTTCCTAAGGGGAGGGGGTTAAGACCATGATGATGTTACACACCTTCCATTTTTAGACACTTGTAGTTAATATAATTCTAGTCAGAATTGTGTTTTAATTTTACATTTCCTAAAATGAATGATGACATAGGGAGGGGTGGGGGTCAAAAATCCTAAAATTTAAATTACATCATTTCTGGCCATCCCCTAATTGACACCTTATATTGAAAATCCTACAAAAATACACAAATAAAATTTCAGACATTAAGTTATTAATTATTTTATCATGGCTTCTATATTATTTATAAAACCAAATACTAATGTGAAAAAATAGAATTTACCATTTTTTTAATAATATTTTCACTTTTTAACCCTTAGAAATTTCTTTCAATTAATACTAAATATTACAATGCGGTTAATTAAATAAGTACATACAGTAAATATATTATATATGGATTAATTTTATATTCACCAGTGGTTAATTTAAAATTAATTCACCAGGGGTGAATTTACCTCTGGTGAAATTCACCAGTAATATGATAATTTTAGTTTTATATTAATTTTGTTTGTATTACGTTTTACAATTTCATACACGTAAATAAAAATTTTTTTATGAATTTTTTTAAACTGTAACTTTTTTTTCCAAACATACTATTAAACCCATACAACTCAATTTCATAAATTAGAAATGAAATTTATAGAGAAATTTGTGTTTTTATAACACTACTAACTGTTTAACTCCTAAAGTTTTATATTTTTTATTTAATAACTTTAGAGTAGATGTGTATAAGAGACAGGATTTGATATTAGTGATCTTGGATTTTGTGGACCTGCAGATAAATCATTAAAAAGTATATATGGAAATCTTCCTT